TATATATGTGGTGGCCATCTTGGATTTTGACATGGCAACCCAAGTTTTGAAATTAACCTTTCTCACATCTAGATGCAGCCACACACCAAAATGTTATTTGTTAACTAACTTATTTTTCAAGTTATCGTGCTCACAACATGCTTAGATGGGCGGACAGAGAATTCCAAGCTCAGGCTGTGGCTGAGTGGTTAGAGCAATCATCCTTCAATGCAAGAGTTGGGGGTTCGAATCCACCAGCAGTCACATGCTGAAGTGTCCCTGGGCAAGACACTGAACCCCCTCATGGCCTCTGATGTGTGTCCCATCAGTGTTTGAATGTGAGCTAAAGCACTGATTAGTCTCATTAGAATGATTTGTTCACATAGCTTTGTAGATATCTAGTAGAGTACTGTATGAATGGGAAAATTTGGGCACAGATTGTAGAGTAAAGCACTTTGAGTATCTTGAAATAAGACCGAAAGGCGCTATATAAGTACAGTCCATTTACCATTTATTTTTTGCTCTGGGACGGAGGACGAAAGGAAGAATTTACTTTAGTTTTAAAGTTAAAGAAAATTGGAAAAACAGCCGAAGGTTAATAACTTCTTGCAGGTTGATTACCAACTGGAGCTTTTGACGTTGTGCCAAAACGTTGACACTTTATTATTTGTTTCAAATACCCTAACTCCCTGTTGGCCTGAATTCTTCTTGTTTACTAAGATTGATTAAACCATAAAAAGTCATTACGATAATGAGAGCTTGGCTAATTTATTCAACTTGTGCTCATCACTAATCATTTTGTTCAGGCTTTTCTCAAACAAAGAACTTCTCTGGACCTGAATCCCACAAACGGAGTCCTCTTGCACTCTGATGTGGGCCTTTGGGCTGTTCTGGGTGCTGCCCGATGAGGGGGCCACCTCCCCCAGCAGATCCCTAAGTGTATCCTCCTCGCCACAGCACAGCTCTATAGCCGACACCGACACAGTCAGATCGGTCCAGGTCCTCTCACGGCGCCGCTCAATGGCGCTGTACAGCCAGGAGATGGCACAGGGAATCAGGCCGAGCTTCTGGATGTTCTCACTGCTGCCCACCATGCTGGACCAGGATCCTGAAACAGAAGAGGACTGAGATAAAGCTGGGGTCTGGGGTTTACATACACATCGTTAGGAATAATGATTCACATAAATTTAAAATATTTCAATAAGTGGTGCTGGGGGTTGGAGAAAGTCTTTTAAAATAACAAAAACAAAAAAATTATCTGTAGTGATGACGATTGAAACAGATTAAGATGTTCAGGAATCACTAAATCTGCCATAAAATAAAACTTCTGGATCACCAAGGTTGGTGTCCATAGTGAGGCCAGTTTTAGAGGGTGCTGACAAAAACAGAAGCTTCTGGTCAAAAAGTGAGCCAAATGGCTTCTATAAGAGAAGTTCTATTTCATCCCTACTGGCCACCAAAGGGCGGTGCTGAAAGCACTGAATGTTCCCTGCACCCATGTGCCGTTCAATTAGTAATATCAAAAGTATCAAAAGTACGGGTTGGCAGCAACACATCCAGCATCATCACTCTGAACACGGGGGCCCCACAAGGATGTGTGCTGAGCCCCCTTCTGTTCACTCTACTAACCTACGACTGCTCTCCATCACACCCCTCCAACCTCTTCATCAAGTTTGCGGACGACACGACTGTGGTAGGCCTCATCAGCAATAACGATGAGTCACTCTACAGGAGCGAGGTGAGCCGGCTGGTCTCCTGGTGCAAACGCAACAATCTCTTGCTGAACACAGAGAAGACCAAGGAGATTGTTGTGGACTTCAGGAGAACTCAGACAAAACATGCTCCACTATCCATCAACAGTGTTGTTGTGGAAAGGGTGAGCAGCACCAAGTTCTTGGGTGTGCACATCTCTGAGGACCTCTCCTGGACCATCAACACAGCAGCAGTGGCCAAAAAGGCTCACCAACGGCTCTACTTCCTCCGCAAGCTGAGAAGAGCGAGAGCCCCCACCCCCATCATGACAACCTTCTACAGGGGGGCCATCGAGAGCATCCTGATGAGCTGCTCCACTGTGTGGTACGGGGCCTGCACAGCATCCTGCCGCAAATCCCTCCAGCGGATCGTGAGGACAGCTGAGAAGATCATTGGCACCTCTCTCCCCTGCCTTCAGGACCTCCACAGCTCTCGCCTCAGAAGTAAAGCCCTCTGCTGGGTGGGAGATCTTGACCACCCGCTACACTGCTTCTTCAACCTGCTGCCATTAGGGCGAAGACTGCGTAGCCTCAGTTCTAGGACCAGCAGACTGTGGAACAGCTCCGTCCATCAGGCCGTGAGGATGCTGAACTCTCTGCCTGCCCCCCC